TGGTACAGTAGAATAACTTGGCAGCTTTTACTGGTCTTTTTGACTACTATCACTACTTAATACAAGACATAGGTGATCTAAAATTATTTATACTTTTGTGTTTAGCAACCTGCCTGCAACATCTTTAAGAAAAAAAAAGACAAAGTCATCAATGTCATAATGCGAGCTGCCAATGCGAAGAAACTTATATTTTATACTTTCTGCTAAATCAACCTCAAAGAAATAAATCGTGTAGCGTTATAAATGAATAGATTAATTACTATGTTTATGCTTTAAATACAGGAAATATTTAACAGGAAATATTCTTCTGGACTTTCAAATTCATCGGGCTTGTATTCAAACGTTGGTGGTCTCTTTTCTAAATGCACTGTGAAACTATATAAATACTATATGATGTATCTCATAAATCTTATGACAACAATCTAATGACAAATAATATCTTTGATCAAATGTGTCTAACAGAATTTATAACGGTCGTGCCTACAGATTTCTTCGACTTGCATTTTTAGCATATCCTTATTGGATATTATTAACACGTCCGTCATAAGATTAAAGGACTATTGCAATATTTTTTGTGAAAAGGTATATTTGAACATATTTTAAATGTCCCTCGTGAATGAGATCTGTTTAACAAAATCTGCAAATTCAATTATCATACGAAGTAATCTAGTCTATTAAATATAGGTTGACACGCGGGACATTGACATACAAATATGGATCTCGTATATGAAGTTCCATATTTTTTAAAACAAAAATGTTCGTAACACAATGTGGTACTTTATTTCGTAATGCCTCTTTAGTTTATTTATGTCAATATATTGTAAATATTCTGCGTATCATCCTATATTAAACAAACTGTGCATTCGTGTAATGATAGGCTATTATATAAGTTTAATTTCTAGAGATGCGAAATTTTACATTGTATTCTTTTTTTAATTATCTCAATTTCTACTTCATAGACATTTGAAGTTTTCCAAAAAAAAAAGAAGAAAACCACTGGGTTAAGTAACTTGTGAAGTAAAGAATTTATTCGGTGTTAATTTTTATAAAATAAAGTAATCTGACAGCCTATATATATGTCCAAGGCTGGGTAAAAGCCTCGTCTGTACAGAGGGTATTAGGGCATTGTCTACCACGCGGCCCCACTGCGGATTGTCGGAATTCACATATCTTCGAAATATTTTTTTTTTATTATTTCGAAAATATGCAGGTTTTCTCACGATTTTCCTTCATTGCTGGGCATGTGATGAGTCACCACTTAAAATAAATATTTCATTGGTGCTGGCACCGGGATTTGAACTCAGTTTGCTCGAATATATTGAATTAAAAGCTATTGCTCGAACACTGAGCTATCTCGGCTTTTTATAACCATCAAAAAACCTAGAACTCTCTTGGCTACAATTAGATGACTTTGTTCCACCCTGTTTAAGGTTAAAGACGCACTGAAATAGATTAAATTAAAGCGTATCAGGTGTCGGAAATAAGAATACAAATCATCGATATTAGAGATTTGGAGGTATCTCGTATACTGGCTTGCTCTGGCAAAAAACTGGTATAAATGCATGAGGCATAACCATTTTTAATGTCAGCAGAGGTCACGAAGCGCTTGGCTCGTAGAAAAAACGGTGCCTAACACGCAAAGAAGTAGACGGCCTACAAAAAATGATTCCGTAAGGTTGGCGGCGATGCAGCGTTTGAACTGTTGCGACTATTTTTGAATTCCGCGACTCGGCTATCACACACACGTCCAGTGTTTTTTATTTGTCTGCGTTTTGTGTTTGGGAGTAATTAGTGTGGGGCTTTCATGAGGAGCTGGTTTGTGGAACTGGTGCGTTGTTTTGTACGGATACGCTTGTAACGCCCACATGTGTGCGTTATTCCCGTTGTGTGTCCATGTTGTATAGACACACGTGTGTTAGTTTCTTTTGTGTGTGCATGTTAAATGAGTGACATGTTATAGTATCTAACGTGTTTCTTATAGTGATCGCTGCGGTAATTGTTGATATTATTTTTTTTTTGAATGTTCATCACCTTTGGTTGATTCGAAGAGTTGTGAACTGTTATAAAGAAATCAAACACAACCAATGTAGGTGCACTATCGTGTGACATAACAAATTGTAACTTTAGTACAAACAAGTTTTTTTTGTCCACATTTTTCCAACGTCAAAAATATTTAAATGAGTACCAATGTCACTATCCAACTAAGCGTCGATTGTTAGTTTTAATAAAATAACATTAATAGTAGATATAGCGGTTTCTGAAGAAGAATTTATTGCCGCTAAAAATTTTAATACCGCGTAATACATCGCTAGTTTCTAATACACAAATCGTGGACGGTATTGGTAGCCTCAAATTCGATAATTCGACGCTTAAGTGTTTTTGAAGCGTTGCAGAAGCCCCGTTAACGCTAAACAAATCCCACAGTTGCAAGCACGTCCCGCCGGTTCTCGGAAGAGCCGCGCTGACTTTGCGCTAGGCACCGGCCACCAGTGGAAAAGGCTTGCGTGCCTTCACCGCCACCCACCCAACTGTAAGTATGCACGGCCCAGAGTTTACGAAACCTAATCATCTCCTGTCTTCAACCGTTTTCTGTGCGACACATTTGCTCTATGTAGAGCGAAGTTTGAATTGTTTCCCGAAGTATTCAAACGCGGGTCGCTCTTGATATGAAATAGATTATTTTTTATACGACACCGTCCAACGTCCTTGTTTGTAAGCAAGCTCAAATTCGAATTAGATTAAAATCCGTGCAGCCTTCACGATGAACACAGGTTCCGATAATTAAATTTGCGCATATTTAAATTAGTTTTCTGGTAAAGTTGTGTTTGTTACTTAATCTTTTTGAAATAAATTAATGATATTTAGGTGCTAATTGAAGTCTCTCGGATCAAATTAAACAGCTCCGGGAACTTAGCTCAGTTTAACTAAGAAACTCCTTTATTTTAACAGAAAAACCGATTTAAATTTTAGGAATGTATGTTTATTTATGGTAGGCCTTCTAACCTACTTCTTATCAAAGGCAATCTAAGCAAGAGCTCAGAAGGACTTAAATGAACACTACCTCTTACACGTTTGTGACTATACTTTTAGTCCCCCACATATAGAGCTGAGAGGAAAATGCGGCTTGATTCAAGTGGCCACAGACGTTGGAGAGAGTTCCTTTCACCGAGTTATAATTGAGGTTTTTGTTTACAAAAAGAACGAAAAAGGCCTCCTGTTGACTTGTACTTAGTTTTCTGTATCAATTATCTATTTGCTCCGAGTAATTTCTCTGACAACTTTTGAGATAGGTACATGTACATTAAATTTAATTGCGCATTCCTTTGAAACGCTACTCTTTTCCCTTAAACAATCATAATTATAACAAGAGTTCGATAAACCTCAACGTCAGATTGCTTAGGTTTTAGTTCAACACCCTACATAAGTGCATAGACCTCTTTTCATAAAGAAAGGGCTTTGACCGCATTTCATCAAACGGATCCAGTTAGAAGAGTACAAAGGCGAAAGGCTTTTCGGTATGAGCGATTCCTCAGCTAATTTATAACCATAGAAAACTCGAATATTAAAAGAAGAGATGAATCTATCATTTTCTACGATAATCAATCAAAATTGTATAATTTAAACGTAACAAATTTGAACCACATGAAGTTAATAATTTTCAAACAGTAAAACTTTATGAAATATTAAAAATAATCATGCAGTAGTAATATAAATAAAATGTTTAGTATTATTAATAGGTTGATATAAATCGTTCCGACTTTTTTATAAATATAATTAAATAGATAAAGGTGATTGATTATCATAATGTGTAGTAAGCAACGGAATAGTATCGTCATTCACAACTGTGAGTTACCTATAAATGAGAAACACAACACCTACGACTGTTAGACATTTGTGCAATATTCTTAGAATTGAAAATGTGCTTGCACTTATATTTCGAATTGATTTAGGAGAAGAATGTCATGTTTCACACCTTTCCAAAGAGAATCCACGAGATTGTTGCGATAAATTAAAAAAAGAAACAGCTTATACTTAAATTGCAATAAATTAGTAGATTTTGAATTAGGCTTTTCTTCACCGGTTTTATTTATTTTTAGGCGCGAAATGCTTACGGAAAATATCGAATTATTTTGTAGTCATATGTTTTTTAATGAAAAAAAAAAACATAAGTAATAAATGATCTACTTTAAAACATGTAGAAAATGATCTACTTGTATTTTTTTACTTGTACGGATGTTGTAGCTTTCAGTCCGTACACTAAGTACTAAAGCTTCTTTGAACACGAGCAAGGGCACAATTTTAAGCTCCTGGGATCTAGCTGGATAGCTAAGTATAATCTATACAGATAAATTAAATTGGAGTGTCTGTTTGTAATATTAAAAAAAACGCTCTTTACTAAATGCATATGGATGAATACACAGTAAATATACCGAAATAACATTTTTTTACAATTTTTTCTCTCTTCGTCTGTCTGTCTGTTTGTTCCGGCTAATCTCTGAAACGGCTGGACCGATTTGGATGGGACTTTCACTGACAGATAGTTGATGTAATAAGGAGTAACTAAGGGTACTTTTATTTTAGATTTTTTTTATTTTAATATCCACGCGGACGAAGTCGCGGGCACAGCTAGAACAATATAAAGCTTAAAATTCAGTTTTTTGGCAACAATTCAAAAAGTTGAATATTTTTTTCTAATTAGTTCCCGGCCTGTATACTCTAAACCGTTTGGGCTACTAATTATATTCACTTTATAGAAGAACTGATATCATAAATAATACTATCCGAATGTACGTTATCAATTAATCTATTTGTTTTGTCATAGAGGCGTGGTGAATGGTAGTCAAGCCCACTATGTGCAATTTAAATAATTAAAACGCGTAAAAAGTGTGACGGTGGCCGTGCACAGCAGTCGTCCGTGCCGGAGATATGTAACGGCATAGCGGAGACTAACACGCTGATATGTAATAGCACGGTGTATGTATTCGGCGTTACGCGTGCTAATTGGGCCGGCGGCGGCGGCGGCGCTGCGGTGCGCTTGACCGGCCCGGCCGCCGCGGCTCCGTCATAGCGGTGGCAAGGGCGCCGTGCGTCTTGCCGAAATTATTCGGGGCCCGCTGCACAATCGATTTTTCCCGCCCGATGCGGAAAATTCTTCGAGGCGGGGCGGGTGGCGGGCCGGCGGCGGGCGTCGGGGCCGGGGGTGCGGGGAGGCGAACGGGAGGGGGCCGGGGGCGGTAGGGGGGCAGGCGGTGCAGCGGGGCGGTGCAACGCGCGCCGTCCGGGCCGTCGGGCAGACAGTAGGACGGCGACGCCACTGCGAGTCGGTGACCACGGCGCGAGCAGCGCGCCAGTCGCACCGTGACATGTAGCGCGGCCGCGCATAAGCCCCGCGACCACTCCGCCGGTGCAGCGCCGGTGGTGGCGCCGATGCGCTGCCGAGCACGACGCCCGCGCCGCTAACCGCCCGCGCCAGCCCTCACCCACACGGACCCGGAGCGAGCCCTTCGGCCCGTCCGCATCGACGACCGACGTCGGATGGAACCCGGAGTGCGATTCGCATCAAGGTTAGACGAATGTTCCGCTGTGAGTGTTTGTGCACCGCCCGAACGAGCGCCCTAGCACCCCCAGCCGTACGCGCACCCTGCCCGCCGCCGTCACACAATAGGTACGTTCGTGGAACGAGGAAAATGCCTATGACTCACTTCTCACATCAGCGGTCGCATATTCGCCTTTGGTAGGCTCGTTCTCCATTTCCGCTACTCTCATAATAGAATAAGAGCCCGCAATGTTGAAGAAAAGTGCTCATCAATTCCATTCCCTTTGTGTAGTTCTTAAAACCTCGTAGATTTAGTTTTTCAGGGTCTTTACAGCGACGCTAGTGTGCATAATTTTATGTAAACATTGTAGTCGCAGGAGGCGTTAATTTATTTTTCGCGCCTTGTGTGCTTCACGCGCTCGTTGCGGATAATTTGTCTCTACTAATATAGTCTATGCATAAAATGTAATAAGATTTCAATAATATTATGACTGTACAACACTGTTCACTGTAAAATTTGGTATTGTTTTTTAAACTAAATCATATTTTAAAATAACATATGTGTAAATCAAGTATTAGATAATCATCAAGTTTACATTGATACATTGAAAATATGTAGTATTTTATTGAGAATGGAACCTTTGTCTGATCTGTTAAGTTCCTCCAAGTTGTTGCTCACGGAAGAAATGTAATCTATGCTTATACATATAATTAGTGACAGGACATATAATTAGTGACAGGACATTTACATAATACCTGTAATTGGGCAAAACAGGTAATCGAATAATTACGTAAAGACAGCCGAATCTATTCGGTGAAAATATTCATCGGGCTACAATTTACGTGTGTTTCTTCATAACTTTCTTGCTTGGCTTTTTAATTATGCTTTACTTTCAGTTTATAATTGCTTTAAATCTATTGCAAGAATTAGAGACATTGCAACGCCGACGGCTAATATAATTCAAGTTTTCCTAAAAGAAATGATAACAAAACGAATCGTTTGCCAAATTTTATGTCGTTATTAACATTAAAATAAAATAAAACCAAACGTTTTCTATATAGCTGTAGCTAAATAATAATCACTTTTGTCATTGTCAACATCAACTATAAAAGCTCTTTATTGCATGTAGATTTCACCAAGATTTTTTGGCGCTTAATTTCAAATGAGTTATTCTTAAATTTTTAATTCAAGAACGCAATAGAAGCTGATTGAAGAAATACAATAAATATCATAGATAATTGAACTGTGCAGTATTTAAGTTAAACATGAAAGAAAATATTCCGCGATACCCGCCTTCTTTTCCTGCTTTGTACCACGTGCGTCAGTTTAAAATCAATGTTTAAAACGTTTTGACGTAACCCATCGTAGCATTAATATTTAACGTATAACATAATTTAAATAACATCGAGTATAGGCAGAGACTTGATTTTAGCAGATTCGTATTGTAGAATCAAGTCACCTTCCTAATCTTTCTTTGTAGCACACATGAAAATAAATCCACGAAATTGAGTGCAGTTTGGGAATTGCAATAATAAAGTTGTCTGCGTCTTATTGTTGTATGCGTCTATTAAAAACGAACTGAAATATTTGAATTTTCAATTTATAGATTATTTTTTATATATGACTGATAAAGAAGCGTTTCGCATATTAAACTCTAAATAAATATTATTTCAGTGTTCGACTCAACCGGGCAAAGTTACACGAAAGATAGCAGCTATTTTCGTTATTCAACGCTGACCTACCTCACATCGTAATCATGTACAACATTCAGATACCGCATGTTACCTTAATTATTTGTGAACACAAACATCTTATCATAATGGGTAGACTAAAAGGTGCAAACTAACTCATATTCGATTAGAAATATAGCGGGAAACACGATTTTATATTCGCAGGTCCGATTTATTGCCGTCGTAGACTAGTCAAACAGTTTTCGAAATTGACAGCGTTTCGAGGCTGATAATAAACGTCCCTTGCGTTACCAAGGTTATCAGTTGCATTACGGGCCTATCTGATAATGTTTGCGTGAATTACTGATAACGTTTTCGCATAATTCGCCTTGCTTAAGCATATGCGTGAGCAGAAACTCCATCCTTTTATTGTACGATATAAAATATGTACAATCACTTCAATATCGACTCGGGTATTGATGATTAAAAGCATACTTGAGACTTTTTATCGATCAATATACGTCATGGTGCAAAATATTGCATCTATTTTTTGTGCTTCTATTTTTTTTATGATCTAACAACATTTTGAATTATTGGATTTTTATTTTCATTTGCATTAAAAAAATGAAGACTTAATAACGGAGAACGCAACGTTACATTTTCGGATTTCAATGTTTGTGTTTATTCTGAAGACATATTTCACTATTTTGTAACGTTTGGAGAATTAGTTTTCATCGTTAAATATAACGATATAAAATCAGTGAACTAAATTGCACGAAGCTTTCTTGGCTTTTAATAATTTACTGTATTTTATATAATATAACGACAATCATTTTTTTGAAAGAATTAAAATAATCCTACGATGTTATATTATTTAAAAATTAAAAGCGGAAAGTAAAACACAAAGGTATTAAATTGAACTGTTTTAGTAATTTGAGATATAATATTATGTACACGTAGCTATGCTTTTATTTATGAAACTATTTAGAGCCCCGAGACCGGAATGGGTTTGTTGAAAAAAAATAACTTTGCTATGAATATCGCTGCTTTCTCTAAAAGATTTACTTTAATTACTAATAGCACCAGTAAGGATATGCATTTTAATTGCAAATAATACCTACCGTAAGGCCATGACTTCATGTTTTTTTTTTTATGTGAGAAAGTAGTAAACGAGCTGGCGATTCACTTGAAGTTAAGTGATAACCGCCGCCCATGTGCATCGGTAGGGTTGCAGATGCATTGCCATCTTTTAATAAAGAGGCCTCCGGTCACTTCACTTACCAGACGAAACACAGAAGTATCCCGCACAGACCTGCCCATTCGTGCAACTAGGAGACTGTTGCGTAGTCCTACCATCGTCGCATTTATCCTAAATATGTCTTTTTTATTATTAAAGTATGTTTAATAAAGCTTTTTATTTAAAAGAACTATTCCTTTAAGTCTTGAAATGTGTTTTTACTTCGACAGTTATTTAAAAAAATACGTTATAAATTCGGCTCCAAAAAGTATTAATACGACTCGTTTGATGAATTTGCGAGTGGCGTGATTGTTTAAATGTCGTTCTTTAAGCGGGTGCAAAAAGGTTGAGGCTTACATACTCCATGGCCGAAATCGCAAGCAACGCGTGCACGCCGTAACGTCTGGAAGCTGGCCGCCGTTGAATGCGTGAGGTTGACGCGAAAACCATCCGCTTATACATATTTCGGGCATAGCAACCGCGTATCTGCAATCGAAAAAGTCAGCCGCGACGCACGCACTCATCCGTAGCGCGCGAACACACATGCATCCAGCTCACAATAGGCACCTAGGTTATGTAACGCGCTTACGAGCTCTACACTCACACACGGGCGGATTAGTCGCGCGAGCATGTGTCCGGGCACAGACTTTACCCTTGAGCGCGTGCATAATACTAGATACTTAATTAGCGCATTGATAAAAATGTTATTAACAGATTCAACCGCTCTGCGTAGACTTTTTAAAAAGCAGATTATGGGACGGCTAAAACTGCCCGAATTCTCGCGGATATAGCGCGCGTTATCTTTTGCAACGTGGAAGTGGTTGCCGACAATAATTGGCGCCGTATCTGTTTTGAAACATACGTGTTTTTTTATTTTACACTCCTTGTTCGAGTTTCTTGATTTTATTTTACTTGATTCATCGCCGTTAGAAAAAATTCATATACATAAAAGTTTAGAACACAGCCATCAGTCCCAGACACACAAAAAACCACAAACTATAAAACATTATATTTATAAAAATTTGAATTATGACGAAAAAGACTCCTAAGGAAAAACAATTTAACAATTTTTTTATTTACATAATGCCACTAATTTTACAAGATTGATATAACGACATCAGCTCATGCTTGCGTTATTTAAGCGGGAGCTGGCGGTTCACCTGATGTTAAGTGATAACCGCCGCTCATGGACATTTGCAACACATTTACGGTGACAAATGCGTTACTCTGCTTTAAATAAAGTGGGCCCCGGCTACCTCACTCACCAGACGAAATGCAAAAGTAGAACCCTTCTACTTTACGCCGGTTTTCTGTGGGCTCGTGGTACTTACCCGGACGGACCTGTCCATTCGTGCAACAGTGTTGCGTGGCCCTACCACCGTTAATAAGTAACGTTTCACATAGATAAAAATGTACGTAACAGGTCGGTAATTTGTTATATTTACCACAGAGGGTTGGAATGGTTTTGGATATTTCGATGAACCGTTAAGGGATTACCGTTAAAGTGTTCGCGAAGCGTTGGTAAGTCTGCAATCGCTACGTAGAACGACGTTACACTGATACCGATAGTTGTATGCAGGGGATTGTGGGGCTTACATGAGCCAAGTACTTATAAGCGTAGAGCAAGCCATGTATAATATAAGTTTTTGTCTTAAGGACATATTACTTAATACTTTATTTAAGTTATAGAGCCGATCCGAAATGAACACTCGGGCACCGAAATGAACGGCTTTGTCTCGTATATTTTTAATATATTTGGTGAATGTCGTTCTGGAGTAGAAAGTAATTCCTAGATATTTTACGTTTTTCCCAAAGGATCGGTTAGTCGAATTATGTGATCTGTCTTAGCTTTCCGCTTAGGCGAGTTCGAGTCATTGGAAGGTTGAAGTTTGGCACGGGGTAGGTCGAGTGAAGTGTATTTATTCTCTATTTCAAAACAATATGGAGAGGTGATTGGCGGTGGTGAATATTCATTCGGTCAAGGCATTTGTCCTAATAGAAGCAGAGTCCGCCGCGAAAAGCGCGAAGTTAATCTGTACGGATGTTGCTAATGTAGAGCGGAAAGCTAGAGCCTTGAGGAACGCCCGCCGTGAGGGAACAAAGAAAAGAAAGAAAACTCATAGAGAAAGTGCCAGTGTCAACTCGGTATCGGAAAAACCGATGTAACAGGAATGCTCGAATAGTACGGACGAGCCTGTCCTTCGCACTGAGTGCAAAAAGCTTATAGGGCAAATGTCTTGCCAATGCGAAAGATCTGTTCGAGACAAGGGTGTTGAGATCGAAAACCTGCAAGAGAGGAATAAAGTC